CCCCCCGCCTCTACACCACACCCACCCACAGCAATCGCCGTGTAGGTCAATGATAATTCGGGTCACAGCACACCACCCCAGACCACCCATTTGGGCGGCACGCCCCCCACTGAATTATCCGCCGTGCTGCATTTCTCTCTGTCTGTCTGTCCATCTGTCCATGCTGAGCTTGTCGGTCAAGAACAGGTCCGTGTGAGCTCACTCACGCGTGACGCACCACGCAGGCAGGTGAACACCGACGCATCACCTGAGACCCAGAAACGAAGCCAGAGAGAGGTCCATTCCGACCCCCTCCCCCCGCGACCTCCCTCCTCCACTCACCTTAATCGCGTCGCATACGATCGATCAGTCACATCATTGTTGGCGGCGATCGAGATCTGCCGTCTCCACCCGGCCCCTGCTGCCCCATCATTGCCCCCGCCGGGCCGGAGCCAGCGGGCATTGTCACCGCCCGCATGTCCCTTCGAACACCCTCAGGCACCATCGGGGAAGCCCCCGCACTCGGACCACCTTGCTGCTGATACTGCTGAAACTGCTGCGGGTGGGACGGCATCTGCATCTGCTGCCCGTGTGTGGTTTGTTGAGGCATGGGCGCACCTTGCTGCTGCTGCTGCTGCTGCTGCGGATACGCACCTCCCATTGCAACCATCCCAGGGGCAGCTGACGGAGCGGTTGGCTGCATTGGGGGCCCCTGTGCTGGTGGGGGATAGCCATGCACCATGTTGCCGTCAGTGAGGGGGCCGCTGTGGAAGGACTGAGGGTAAGGAGCGTACCCATTCTGCTGCTGCTGCTGTTGGTGATGCTGTGAAGGCGCCGAGCTGGGCCTCTGCTGCTGTTGTGGGGCGGCATTGTTGAATGGTGGCTGCTGGGTGGGCTGATAGCCCATCATCGACTGTGGCGCAGCCAGCCTCTGAGGTTGCATTGGCTGGTCTTGGCTGGTTTGTCGCGGCACCCCACTGGACAGCGTGTCGGCATTCCTCTGCATCTGCATCGTCAGCAGATCCTGAGCCGGGCCGCCAATAGCACCACCCCCACTCGCCACCGGCCCCGACACTGATATGGACCGGCCGAAGGGATCTGCCGGCATTGTGGGCGACGGCACTTGTGAGTACGGCTGAGGGGGCGACGCCGTCATGTCACTCGATACACGAGCAGACGGCGTCGAGCTCGTCCGTGGTAGCCCCCCCGACCTACCATCGACCATGGGTGACGCAAAGGGCTGCCCCTGCATGGTCCGCATCGGGGGCTGCAGGCTGCCACCACCCATCCCCATTCCACCACTGGCCATCGGCTGCGGATAAGAGGGGCTCTGCAGCGGTGATGATGATCTCGCTGGCACCATCGGCTGGTTCTGGTACGGAGCGGTGGGCGGAGGGGACGATCCGACAGAGTACGACGTCGGCTGGGCCGCTGCTGTGGGATCGTTGGCGGCTTGCATGATGATGCCGGCACCGACGTCAGGCAACGGGGGCTGCTGTGGCTGTGTAGGATAGAAACCGGTCGCGGGCAGAGACGGAGGCATTGTGGGGGAGGGGGGGCGGGCAGCCCGTTGCGGCGGCATCTGCTGTTCTTGCTGTTGCTGCTGATACTGATGCTGCTCCTGAGCCTGCGACTGAAGCACCGGTGCAGGGGATCTCCTCCACTCGTTGATCAAATCCAGACCGCCTCCGACGTCCTGACCGCCAGGGGACGGTCCATGTATGTGCTGCATCTGCATCATGGGCTGGGTCGGCTGCTGCTGTGCCGACTGCAGACCGCCACTGAGTTGCGTCGGCGGCACGCTCGGGTCGAATGAGGGGCTCATGAATGACGGCATCCCGTTGGCCTGCACCATGCCGCCCTGCTGCATCAGCGGTGGTGGAGACGGGGGAGGGAGACTCGCCGTCTCCCGTGGCTGTCGTTGCTGCTGCTGCTGCTGTTGCCAGGGCGGTGATGGTGGCAGAGGGGCATGATGGTTTGGTGTGGGCTGGGGGGGCTGGGGGGGCAGAGAGAACAGATCGGGAGGGAGACCAGGGCTCGCCGGCTTGCCGTTGCCTACAGGGGGCATCCCAGCCATCACACCATCATTCGGCGAGGCGTTGTGCATCATGTTGTTGGGAAGCGGCGGTCGGAACGCCTGCTGCTGCTGCTGCTGATGTGAGGCCTCGTCGACGGCAGGTGGCAAGAAGCCCCATCCCGAGTTGAGCTGTGGCTGTGGCGGTCTCGCCTTGCCAGCATCGCCTTCATCAAACACCGCCCAATTGCCCCCTCCCCCGCCACCACCACTGGCCGTAACAGGGCCTGGTGCGTCGCTCAGCTGCTGCACCGGCGAGGGGAAGCCCTGCCAGCCACTGTTGGCGTCGAAGCCCGCCGTCGCCCATTGCGGCGGGGAGGCCGGTGGCGGGCTCGGTGACGACGTCCAGCCCGCGAACGGCTCACCTCCACCAACGGCTTGGCCCAGATGTTGGTGTCTCTTCTTCTTGGGCTTGTCCTTGTCCTTGCTTGGCTTCTTGCCGCCCCCCATGGCCACCGCAGATGGATCGATGGGGGCGAACTTGAAGTCAGGGTTGTGGTCCCGCGCCTGCTGGCTCATCCGCTGCGACTTCTGCAGCACCGCCGGCGGCAGGTACGACTGCAGGGCCGATGGGGAGATGGACGCATACTTGCTGAGGATGCGGCACAGCTCAGCAGCAGACGGGCGGTCGCGGGGGTCGGCCGCCAGCATCCAGTGGACCAGGTCCAGCAGCTTGGGGCCGACGCGGAGCTTGCCCCCTCCCTGACCCCCACCCCCACCCCCACCGCCCCCGCCGGTGGACACCCGGATCGTGTCGAGTGGCATGGAGTAGTTGGCGTTGGCTATGGCGAGTGGGGACTGGTCCTGGAAAGGGTGTCTGTAGAAGACAAGGGTGTAGAGGATGCATCCGAGCATCCAGATGTCGACCTTGTCGCTCAGCTCGTAGCCCTTGTAGAAGTCCACCATCTCAGGCGGCCGGTACATCATGGTCGTGTACTTCTCAATCTCCTCCTGCAGCTTCAGCAGACGCTCACGGGCACACGTCTTGGGCTGGATCTGCTCCGTAGAGCAGCTGCCGAAGTCGCACAGCTTGTAGTGCCCGCCAGCCCCCAAAATGTTCTCGATTTTGAGGTCGCGGTGCACTATCGGCGGTCTCTGGCCGTGCAGGTGCGCCACCCCTTTGCAGACGTCGTGGAATATGCCCACGATGACGTCCTCGGCGAGCTGCCCGTCATGGGCGTCCAGGAGACTGAGGAGGTGCCCGTCGCGGCAGAATTCCATGAGGATGCAGACCTCTCTGCTCTGCCCGCCCCCTCCACTCTCGCCCGCCAGTATGGTTGACCCGAGGTAGCGCACCACGTTGGGGTGGCTGGGGATGCGCTCGAGCATCTCGATCTCCCGCTTGGCCAACGTGTACCGCTCCTTGTCCTGGCACAGGATTTTCTTGAGGGCGTACTCCTCCCCACTGCCCGTGTCGCGAACCACAAAGACGAATGCGAATCCGCCCTCGCTGAGCTTCCGCTCCTCCCACACGACGCGCTCGCCGATCTGGTAGGTCCGCCCCGAGCCGAGCTTGCCGCGGACGTTGGCACGCAGGTTCTGGGCCGCCTGCACCAGATTGCTGCTGAGATTCTTCAGGCCTTGCATCGCCGGCAGACAGAGACGGACGGTAGGTGGTATGAAGGTGGTCCGTTCACTCACTCACTTCACTCACCTCCCTGCAGCAGAGTCGAACAAACATTTGGATAGGTGAAGATGCCCCTGGGTGCTGTGCTCGTGGAGTGAGTGCCATTTCTCTTTCTTACCAGAGCAGTGAACCCGCAGTCAACACACCAGTCGGTCGCCACAGAATGCTTCAATCTCGACGTCAGTCGGGAAATCTTCGTAACACCATGGACAGGACACTACAGAGCGCCACAATCGTTCGTCTTTCGCCTGAACATTCCCTCCCACGCGAACTTTTGCGAGCTAAGCAAGCAAAGCGGATGAGAACCGAACAGAAATGAGTGCTGACGAAGCGAAGCATCAGCGAGGGGAGTTGTAGCTACAAGTTTGAGCCGCGGAAGCTGAGCGAGAAGGGTATTCAGTCCTTGGGTTTGGTCATCGTGTTGTTCAGTCGATGGGGAAGATATGCACCAAGCACGCCAAGGGCCAGGGGGCCGAGCCGCTGAATGCCAACCTCAACCACTCGCGCTCCTTCACGGGAGGCGAAATGGCCGGCGCTGTCGAGGTAAGAAAGCCCACACAAGGATACACGGCGGAGGGAGGGCTGCGTGGGTGGTAGACAGTCGTGTCGGCGTGGCCGCCACTCATGCATGGCATGGCTGACCGCCGAGGGGCTGGTCGGGTCGTGATGGATGGCTGAATGGATGTGATGTGTGGTGTTCGTTGTGTGTCGCGTCTGTGTCAGGTTGGGCCGCCACACAAGGTGGTGGACGAGGAGATTGAGGAGATTTCCAAGACCTACAAGGTCAGCGGCTAGATCAGCTTAGATGTATGAGGCATACGGCCGGACGGACAAAGACGTCGCCTCCGCGTGTTATCAATTGTGTGTGTGTAGTTTTTTGTGCACATCTGGGGCATCAAGTGCCGGAATCTCAAGGGCGGGGAGAACAGCTTCACGTTTGTGGTCTTGAACTGGGACGATTACGCACTTGAAAAGAAGACACGGACCGTCAAGAACGGGGCCAATCCAAAGGTGGGTGCTCTGATGATAGATAGTGTGGTGAATGGCGGCAGGCAGAATGCCGATTGGTGTTGTGTCTGTCTTGCGCCGTGTCTGCCGTGTCTGCCGTGCCGTGTGTTGATGTGAGCAGTGGAACGACGTGTTTCAGTTCCACTGGACGGCTTCGTCGATCCGCAAGATGAAGGACCAGTACCTCATCATCACCGTCTGTGAGGACGACAAGGGACAGGGAAACGTTCTCGGATCCGTCAAGGTCAGCCCAGCCCAGCCCAGCCCAGCCAAAGACACAGAGCAGAGCAACTGACCGTCTGTCTTGTGTGCTCGTATGTGTGTCTGGGGCGGGGTGTGGTGTGGGTGTAGATGTCGTTGTACAGCGTGGCTTCGGGGCCGATTCACCATGACTTCCGTCTGGAGGAGGCGCCGGGGAGCAAGAAGGACTGCGGCAGGGTCATTTTCGACATACGCATGTCACAGATATGCCAACTGCTCATCAACCCTGTTGAGGTACGTACGCCAGACAGACAGACAGACAGACAGAAGGACAAACGCATTCAAAGGCACTCAGGGAGGGAGGGAGGGAGGGAGGCGACTGACTGACTCTCTGCTGTGTTGAATGGACCGTCAGATTCTGGTCAGTTTCCACCCCGGCGAGACCTTCGAGGATGACTCAGAGACCTCACCCACACGAGAAGCGGTACGTGACGGTGACAAAGAACGAGAGTGACAGCAAGGGCACAACCTTGGGCCCTTGCTGTGTTGCGTTGTCTGCAGAGTTTGGATGATGATGACGTTGACACCTCCAAGATTGACATGGAGGCCGACCCCATAGAGGACGAGACCGAGGCCATCGAGGGCGAGTGGCAACTCGTGCTCTCACCCACGGGCGTGGAGGGCGAGCAGGAGTACTTCTCGACCTGGACAGAAAAGTAAGCGAGTTGGTGGGGTCTTGTGGGGTGGGTTGGCCGTCCCCACGGCAACCACACACAACCGACCGACCTGCCGATGTGTGTGTGTCCGTGACCCTAGGTGTTCCAATCCGTATTGGAACGCCGTTGACGACTCCAAGCTGCCGGACATGCACGTGTCAAGCTCACACGTACGTCAGCAACAACCACCTCACACCAACGTCACAGCACCGCACCATGGGTGCCTGCCTGGCTGGTGTACTTCTCTGTTTGTTCAGGTGTCGTTATCTCCTCAGAGCAAGGCGCGTCATATTGTGAGCGGTGACCACCTGGACCCCAGCCACATCGTCGTGGTGCACCCACACCCATTCACCAACGACGGTATACCATGTCATGGGACACACAGCACAACACAACACAACACATGTGTCGTCTTGTCTGGTGTCACGCAGCGAATTTCCTGGATGTGCGTTCGGATTTGCGTGCCGGTCCGCCCACGCCGTCTCCCCGCGGGTCGCCCCCCGAGCCCCTCTCCCCCTTCCCCCTCGGCAGCCAGCCATTCAGCTCTACCGACACCTCGGCCAACAACAACACCAACACCACTGCCGCAACGACAGCCACCACTGCAGCGACTGGGTCGACGTCGCCGCCCCTGGCAGGTGCTCAGAGGATGTCCATTGCGAGTGTGGCGAGCGGGAGTGTGTCGCCTCCCACTGCGGCATTGCGGTCGGTGACCAACTCAACCCCCACAACCACCACAGAGGCCACCAGCAAGTCGCCACAGAGGAGACTACGGATAGCGCCCGTCACGTAAGCCGACAGAATGAGCGGCCGCGTTTCTTTCGTCTCGCTTTGCCGTGAGTCCTTCCTTGTTGACTGTCGCTGTCTCTTTCTCCGTGTCTGTCTGTGTGTGTCAGCGCCCTTGACGACGCGCTGAAGAAGGAGCTGCAGCACAGCCACTCGTATGCGTCCCTCCACCCGTCAATGCACGCACTCGACCGGCAGGCGACTTACCACAAGCTCAGTAAGCTAGCTGCACACACAGCTGCACTCAGACTTACACCACAGCGGCCTTTACATTGCATCCGTCGCTCCCTCCCCTGGTGCTTGCAGCGTTGATGTGTCGTAAGGGTCGTTTGGCCCGGGGTATGCTGCTGGAGTGTCTGCCGACGATTCAGCTGGAGACGACCATGGAGGAGCTTCACCACCAGCACATCCACTTCAAGGTCTACCTGCGGCGGCTGGGGCTCTCCAGCCTTATGCTCTGCGGCGAGGTCTGGCTGCCCTTCCTCAAGATGTATGACCCGGACGTCGTCGACACGCCACTGGTACCGTACTCACGTCAGACACACGGCCGCCCACCATACTGTGTGTGGCTGACGGGTGGGATGATGGTTCAGGATAAGCATTTTTTCGACTCGTATTTCCGTGAGAAGCTGTGGCGGTACGGCAAGGCCATCGGACACATCGAGGGGATCGTCGTCTTCCAAAATAACCCCACGGTCAGCCCCTGCCACACACCGAGACACGCAGACAGAGATCCGCACTGCGCTGTGTGTGTTGTGTGTTGTGTGCTGTGTGTTCAGGTTCGTCAGCTGCTGGCTGGTGTGCACACTGAGGACGGCTTCCGTAGGATATCGCCGCCCATATTGGGGGCGGAGCACAAGTCAGTCAACTTCTTCTTCAGAAACCAAGACATCGTGCCCGTCGAGGTGACGACACACACCACAGACAGACACACGATGCGAGCTGTGGAGGCGATGTGTTGTCGTATGTACGTTTGTCAGATCAAGAAGATCACTCAGCTGCACCAGACCCTACTCGACACCCTCTTCGCTAAGGGACAGCACAAGCCACAGGTAAGCACCCCCACCGACCACAGAAGAATCCTTGTCTGGGTGTGCGTGTCCATGTGTGTCTTTGTGTAACCAGACTGGCGGTGAGTCGTTCAGTTCGGTGTTCCAGCGGGGTCGGTCTCAGCGGCCGGACTCCCAAGTGCAGGACCTTCCCACCATATGCGAGCAGCTGCTCGCACTGCTCAAGACCTCACACGCGGTGCGCTCCGCTGCAAACACAGACACACGCATCATATCTTGTTTGTGTGCACGTCAGTCAATGTGTGTGTGTGTGTGTGTGTGTGGTTGTGTGGTTGTTGGTGTGTGCAGGAGACGCGCAAGTCGTTCATCTACCAGAACGAGAGCGCGATGCTGACAGGGCAGCGGGTGCTGCTCAACCTGGGCAATCACGTCCTCGAGTACGTCGACTACATCCTGTGGCAGCACCGCACGGGCTACTGCGCCATGCTGCACCAGATTCTCAAACGCGGCGAGCTCGACATCGGCACCTGCCTACCAGAACTGCCGGAGCCATGTAAACTTGTGTTGCCACTTCGCACAGGCAGAAACACCGACACATGAATTGAGTCGATCCACATGTGTGTTTGTGTGTTTCTCTCTCCTGTCCTCTCCTCTGCTCTCCAGTCCGTTCCAAGAGGTTGCCGCCGCACGATGCCTACCTGTGCTACAAGCTGGTCAAGCAGGCAGAGAAACCCGCACAACAGATGGAGAGATCGTAACTAACACCTCCCCGCCCACCCAACACACACCACACCCCCCTCGGCCGACGAACGAACTAATCCATCGTGCTGTCTCCTTGCTTGGTTGGTTGCAGGGGCCCGACTCAGAGCAAGATCGACCCGCCCTCGTTCAGGAAACCCAAGAACGTAAGAACAAAAGAGCCACACAGCCACACTAGTCACACTGGGAGAAGTACCGGAGAGACGGACACACACCCATCAACCAACCTGGGTCTGTGTGTGTGTCTTGTGTGATCAGGAGGAGGCGGCCCCGCTGAAGCTCATCCGCAACTCGTCGCTCTGGTCCATGCAGTCAGACGTACGTGGCAGACACAGACATACTATAGACGACACAGAGTACCAGACAGTAAACGAGTCGTTTGATTGATCAATTTATCTGATATATTAGGCTGACAACGAGTCGACGGATGAGGTCCACGCGCACCACCTGCAGGAGCTGGCCGAGTCACTCACCGACGTGCAAAAGACCGAGCTCATCCTCTACCACAAACGAATGAAGGTTTCTATCCATGCAGTGCACAGATTGATCAGAGATCCTGGGAGGGAGGAAGCGAATCATCTGACAGGTGTGGTGTGGTGTGTTGTGGTGTGTTGTGGCCCGCAGTTGTGTCGCCAGTACTACCTGTTGCTGCTGAGAATGCTCTACTACTCCCTCGACAAACTCTCCAAGTCAGTGCCGACACACAACACAAGGACGGCGCGTGCGTTCGGCCGTTTGCACCTCTTTATCAGTAAATTTGTGGGCTGGCTGGTTGGTTGGTTGATTGGTCCATGGATTGGATTGGATGCAGCGACGCAGTGTTTGAGGGTCAGAAGAAGTACCTCTCGATCTTCCTCTGCACCGCATATTTCAGGCTACCTCACGTACGTATGACATACATCGACACTGAACCTCAACAAACACACCGACGCACCATGACACCATTTGTTTGTGCTGCGTGTCTGCACCGCCCGCAGTTCCGTGAGGACTTGCTGGGCGGTTTGCTGACTAAGGAGGAGCGTGAGATGCAGATCGAGGAGTGGCGGGGCACCGAATACAACTTATTCGACCCGGCACTCTCCAGACTAGAAAAGGTCCGTCCGTGGGGCAGTGAGGGAGTGAGTGATGGAGGGAGGGAGGGATGGATGGGCGCGACAGCTACTGCAGATGTCTGTCTGTCTGTCTGTCTTCGTGTGTGATGTCTCTATTTGTGTCATGTGTGCAGTGGGTGGATCGCACTGACCTGCAGGTCGTCCTGGACTGGGGGGCATTCCACAGAAACCTCAGGGTCAGCCAATACATTCAATCCATGGGGCGAGGCGACCCATATCGCTGTCGTTTGTGCTACATTGATTGCTTGATTGGTTGGTGTAGAGTTACTTTGGTGAGGGGTCGTTGGAGGAGGCGGCTGCGTCGCTGACCAAGCCGAAGGGTGACGAGTGGAAGGAACGCATCTGCAAACGGGGGACGGCCTTCTTCTCATTTCTGGAGCACTGGGTGGGCCGCTCAGGGGGGAACACAGACAGAGAGACTGCTAAGGAGCTGTGTGTCTGTGTGTGGCGCGTGTGTGATGTGATTGCTGGCTGCCTGCAGTCCAAGCACGTGTACCAGTTGGTGCCGAACAAGCAGTCTCTCCGGTGGCATCTGATTGCGGGCTACGCCACTCTGCTCAAGGGGCTGCTCCTGGAGATGAAATACAGGGAAGTCACAAAGGTACGTCAGTGAGTGCAGTGCCAGCCGAGCACTTCACTCACAGGCATGTCGGCTGTCGAAGCCAAGCCACCAAATGTACGTGTCTGTGATCGTGTGTGTCCTGTCTGTCATGTGTTGTGTGTGCTCTGCAGTATCCCGATTCGATGCTGAACAGCAGCGGTGCGATGCTGGCCAACGAGCGGCTGCTCAGCGTTTTCATCAAGATACTCTTCCTCAAAACAAGGTAGGTAGGTAGGTATGTATGTCGGCACTGACTGCCGCAGGCGTCTCGTCATGCACACGTGTGTGCCGACCGACGGACGTGTGGTATCATTCTTGTCATGTGTGTGTGTGTGTGTGTGTGTATGTGTGCAGTGCGTATCATCCGCCCAGTGTGTTCTCGGCGATGAACTACCTCGACTACTGGATGCAAGTGAGAAAGGGAGGGAGACAGGGAGGGAGGGAGGCAGGCCACGCAAGCCGACACAGATGGGGGGATGGATGGATGGCAACGAATCATGTGACGAATGAATGGCCTTACGTGTGCGGCTGTGAAGGTGCTGTCGCTGCGCAACCAGCCGCTGCCGCCCAACTTTGATTTCCACTTCCTACTCAAGGGTAGGGTACACACACACACACACACACACACTGGCGCGGCATGCATCCATGCCCATCCATGGCCATCCATGTGTGTGTTATGTATGTGTTGTGTGTGTTGTGTAGGTTTGGACATCTTGGTTGGGTGTGACATGTGTCTGAACGTGGCCAAGGGTCTGTGGTTCATCTACAAGAACCTCTCGGTCTTCCAGGGCACTCACCTCAGGGGCATCGTACTCGACCTCCTCATCAACAAATACTTTATCGTGTATGATCAGAGGCACACGTGCATTGCAATACAGACAGACAGACACACACACACACACATACGTCGGGCGGCCACTCCCTGCACACGTCTGTGGCTTTGTTTGTCTGTGCGGTGTGGGTGTGTCAGTCTGTTTCTGAACTGGAGTTGGTTAGTGCGCAAGTGCTACATCTGGTTCCTCCTATACCGCGTCTGTGGTCAGTGAGGCGGGCAGGGAGGCACGCTCACATGCAGCCACCTCGTGTCATGCATGTCATGCGTCCACCGTCTGTCTGTCTGTCTGTCTGTGTGTCTGTCCACCATCAGAGGCGGCACGGCGGACCATCACGCGCATCAGCAGCCCCATGAACAAACTGACCGCAGACGAGAAAACGGTAAGGCCACACACACACACACACACATGCACAAACGCCTCCGCTGTGTCATGTCACCCCTCTCCCTCCTCCCTTGATCTCTCCCTATCTTTTCCCTTCCCCCCATCAGATGTTGGACGCCTACAGCCGTCTGTGTTGGTACCTCAACAAGGTCGGCGCCCCGCCGGTCTTCCCCCACACCTCCCTCCCAAGATACAGATCACTCTCAAGCGGCGAAGGCCAGGAGATCGCAGCCGCATGTGCGCAGCCTGGGGCACCCGTCACCACCACCACCAGCGGACCCACACCATCCCCAGCCACCAACAACGGCACGGTCGTGGCGGCCCCCTCCCAGTCGGACACGTCCACCCTGCCGGTGCCTGACAAGGACAGCGGCAGGAGGCGTGGAGGGACCGCTGGTGGTGGTGGTGGGGACAGGAGTTCGCTGATGAAGCTGGCGGTGGTGGAGGAGATCCCTGAGGAGTGCAACGTGTACATTGAGAGTGCCGTGCCCGAGTTCACCAAGGAGCTTGCGGCCTACAGGGACTGGGTCATGGCGGGGGCCGACCCGGTAAGTACGCATCCACTGCAGATTGACAGACACCAACGTCTGCGTGAGACTTGTTCGTTCTCTGTCTTTGTTTGTCACATAGCTGCCGACGATGCACATTCCCGCGTCGCCGTTGGATCAGAACGTCGATGTGCCCCTGGAGAACTGGTGATGGATGCCATTAAAACCCTCCATCCATCCATTCCCCCCCGCTCCCCTCCCCTCCCCCGACGCAGCCATCGTCGGCGCCCCTTGCTTGTGCGTGCCGTCCATCGTCGCGACGCGAGCCAGCCCCAACCGGGTTTGTTGCTCTTGGGTGGGGTGTGTGCGTATGTATGTATGTGTATGTGCTATTTCTGGCATGGTTGCCTGCCTGCCTGTGTGTGTGCTTCCGTGTGTGTACGTCTGTGTGGCCATGGATGCGTACGGTGCCTTGCCTCTCTCTCCCTCTCTCTTGGGGTTGTTTCTCACTCACTGGGTCTGTCTGTCTGTCTGTCTGAGATTTAGCTGTTTTTGTGCTGCTGCCTGTGTGTGCGGTGCGGTGGTAAGGGACAAGGGCGCCTGTCTGTAAGTGGGTGGTGGGAGGCTTGGGACGGTCAGGCTAGCTAGCTGGCTGTACAGACACACGAGAGAGACGCATAGAGAGGGAGGAAGCCAAGGAAGGTGTCCTGTTGCTCGCTTCCTCCACTTAAGTGGCCGGCTTGCAGAAACGAGGCCAATGCATTCATGGACATGACATGACACGGGCATCGCACCGCTGGCCTTGGATGGGTGATGCATTCATGGCCAGCAACGCCCGCTCACGGATGCACAAGTAAGCAAGCACCCAGCCACCCAGCCACCTTGCCAGCCAGGGCAACGGAATGATGTGTGTGGTTGGTGGTTTCAGACGATGGATATGGGGGCGCGGCGCCTGGAATGCAGCTCTTGTAGTGTATACATCTGCCTCGATGGTGGCTGGCTGGCTGCCTGGACAGCGCTCATCGCTCATTCGAATGGTCATTTTCGAACCCCTCGAGGCGGGAGGGATGGCGAGATGACTGGCTGCATGAGTACTGCAGTAGGGAGATTGTGGGCACTGAGGTGAAGCTGGATGGATGGATGGATGCTCGTGTGCCTGGTGGCCTTTTTCCGTCTCGCGGCTTTTGAGCCACAGACAACCAGGCAGGTTCTGTTCATCAAACATCACTACCTATGCCTCCATTCATCCCATCCCGAGTCAGGCAGCGCACAGCAACGTTCACTACACAATGCACTTTACAAGTACCTCGTCTCTCCCACGCACGCCCATCTCCCTCCCTCTCTCCCCGGCATCTCTCAGCCAGTCGGCAGCTGACTCAGATACCTTCGCCCACACAGCACGAAGCACCGCTCCTCCAGTGCAGCGAACTTTGCCCCAACAAACTCTGCAATGACGGGGTGTGAGGGCTCCAGTGCGGCCTCCCTCTCGGCCTGCTGCCTCAGCCGCTCCAGGCATCTCTGTTGGCACTCGGACTGCAGCTGCGAGAAGTGCATGATCTGCTGCACCATGAGAGGAGGTGCCTTGGGCGCGTCAGACACGGCCTGCTGCAGCTCTGCCAGGCTCTTGGGACGCAGCACCTCCAGAATGTCGGGGGGACAGTCACTGCTGCTGATCTCGGCAGCCGCTGGTGAAGATCTATCGACTTCGTTCACCATGGTTGATGATACAAAGAGAGGGAAGCAAGAAGCGGACGAGACTCAACGCAATGCGCAGATCAGGACTTGCAGCGGCTAACAGAAAGGCTTATTCCGACGCCCTCCCTCCTCGTCATCGTATGCAAACTTTCAACGGCTGCTTACAATCGTGGTGGTTTGTGCAGCGCGTATGTGTGTATGGGTGTGTGCAGTGCGTATGACCTTCACTGTTGACCGAGCCAGGTTTGATTGTCTTTCGTCCGACCGACATCACCCTCTCACTCACGCACACATTCGCAGCCACGCACGAGCCTCCCCCCTTGAAACCGACGCAGGCACGCTATAGTCAGTGACGCATAACCCCCCTCCCCGATCTCTCCTTCCTCTCTCCCCCTCCCTCGCAGTCACACATGGCACCGAACAAACAGTGAGCCCAATGCCCTTCCTCCCCCATTTGACGCATACTGTCTGTCATTCTCTCGCTGGCGTGTTCGGTGGGTCATATTCACTGCTGTTTATCAGGCGCACACATCACACTCACACACACTCCCTGTGCATCACAAGCAAACAGTCGGACAGCCAGGCGTATAAGCCAAGAAGTCGAGATGTGTCCACCGGCCGGCCACCTCGCCAGCGTGACACCATGG